CGAAGACCTGGCAGCAATCAATGTAACCACGAGAAACTCGAGCCATGCATCGCCCTCACCTCCTCAGCTTCAGGAGCACTGGCGGAGAACAGCCAGACGCATGCCTGCCGGCATGGACCATTGCCCAAGGCTCTCAGATGCCAAAAAGGACATCAAAGGCATAGAAAGATGCCGGGGGGTGCACCGCCACGGCAAGGACAAACAGCACAGGGCGTCGCGCGGCCATCGTGTCGGCTGGGGCCTCGGAGACTTAAACAGGACGAGATGGAGGAGGTGGAGCTTATGCCTACCTTGCCGCACATGCATTCATGTCTGTGCATTCCTGCTCCTCAACTTCTCAATCCAAGGCATCCGTCGTTGTCCTGTAGTAGACCTGCTGCTCCTCCTCCTCCTCCTCACCCGCCTCCTTCTCATCCTCCGCCTCCTCAAAGGTTATCCTTGCTTCGTTCTGCTGACTGCCAAATACTTTGCAACCGCAATATAGGTGTTCAGAGTCAGAGAACAGCTCCATCCATTTTTGCATTGTGCTTCAGCTTCGTGTGTTTGACAGCACATGTTGTGTGCAACAGGTGGATGTGAGAAACTGCTGCGAATGTCGTGTTTTGAACTGTTTATTTCTGCCTAGAGTTTAGCTTTTGGTGCAGGTTCCTTGCCGCCACTAATCCGGGCATGGCGAAAGCACGGCATTGCAACTCTTGCATGCAGCATGCGGTGATTGCAGGTTGGAACCGGCCGCACTTCGAGAGAATATTTCTCAAAAATCAAGGGGTGAGTGATTGTCGGATTCTGGCGATGGCACTAGGCTTTCACACTTGGTTGCATCACGCTGGCAAGTCTTGATTCGCTGCGTGCATGTCCAGGGCACTAACTTTTGCTCGACACCTCGCCGCGCTCGTGCATTCAAGTAACGGCGATAGTGCTGGTGCTGGTGCTGGTGCTGGTGAGTACGATGATCTGGTGCGGGTGATGACAGAGTTGGAAGACTGGGATCGACAAAGCATCGTTGGAAGATGTCGAAAGCATCTGGAAAGGACAACGAAAAGCTGCAGACCGACACGTCATGTTACAGGGAAGCAGTGCTGTCGAAGAGAAGGCCCCGGACTCCAGGTAGGCGGGATGGCGGATGCTTCCGTCTTTGAGCCGAGCAGCAGCGGGCGGTTACGACCCTCACAAGACTTGCTCTGGTCCAATTTACTCCCCGCCAGTAGCAAGACCGAGCGCAACCAAGATGCCTACCGAGTTTGCACGGATCGTCTCTTCTGTCCTCCTCGGGCGCGGAGGCTCCAGCGACAAGCCCGGAGTGGATCCAGCTTGCGACCGCATCTCAGGGACCTGAGAAGGAGAACGCGCCATGCTGGCCACGGGCCGCAGGCTTCTCTTGGAATGAGAGCCGCCCACCGACAACCGAAGCCCGAAGAGGCGATGGACCTCCCAGAGGAACAGTTGGAGAAGTCATCCGGTTACCCACAGCACCCAGTGCCAGACAGGGGCCTTCCACTGAAGGAGTCGAGCCTTGGGTTCGGCTTCAGCTTCATAAAGCCTGGCTCCAAAGCTAGGCACGCTAGCCGCAGACAGCGCAGTCAGAAACACAGTATGCCTATGCGGCAGTATGCAGCCTGAACTGTTTTCCAGACCCGGCTGCTCAGCTCGCGTCGCTTGAATTCTTCATGCAAGCATGACCATGCGAGAGGCATCTTTAAAGGTCGTGTGCCGGTGACCGTCGCGCTGACCTGCACCGGCAGAAAATCACCTTACCGGGTAAGGTAGAGCTAGGCGGTGCGCCCGCGAAAAGCTGCAACTCGAATGTGCACAGTGAGCACATAGTGAAGTAGTGCTACCTATCCATCTGAACTTGGCCACTGAGCAAGGGGTAGTATGCAGCAGCGGCTCCAAACACGAGCATGAAGAAAGCAGATGCAAACATCAGATATGCAAAGATGAGCGCGTCGAGACCAAGAACTTTGCGCCCACGGTTTGTGTCCGCATCCATGCCAATGGAGACTTTCCCCTCTATGCCTACAGGACGCTTTCTCTTGCCCTTACTCGGGTCTTGTAGCTCCTTAAACACCTCCTCCGGCTTCTGAATGACCACCGGATCGGCAGTGCCTCAGCTGCGCAATCTCCACCTCCTTCGGCGTGTCAAGCACACACTGCCAGACGTGTCCGTCCCTGCACTTTGCCGGCGGCCGGCCAGGCACCCTGCAATGACTGAATGACTGCAAGTATAGGCTGTTTTGGGGGGTCCGACTGAGGCCGGTGCCGAAAGCCTTCCCGAAGGCGATGCGCGTCCAGAACTGGTAAGACATGTATCCGAAGAGAGCGATGCCGGCCAAGGCGATGCTTGTGTTCAACGGGAGCTCCTCCTGCCGAACTGTTGGAAGTGCCTCGATCACCTTGGCGCCCTCGCCACTCAGCAGCATCTCCTCGCGCGAGACGCTGCGCTGAAGCGACGCTGACCGGCATCTCCTGAAAAGTTTTGGCCCGCCGCCCAAGCCCACGAAGCTTGGACCAAAGGACGTCCCCGCCACTCCGAGGAGCACGAGGACCAGGCGGCGCCGGTGTCGCTGCGAGTATCGCTGCGGGCACTCGGCCATGGCGGGAGGCGGGAACCGGCCAAGAAAAGCTCGATCTGTCTTAGATTCTTAGATCCTCAGAGGCTCAACTGGGTGCCTCGTTCTGGGCGCAAAGAAGCCTCATGCTCAACCTCTCTTGCAGTTGACCAACAGTCTGTCCTTCCCTAGTTGAGCCGACACGATGAGAAGGCCGAGCTGGCTCGCATCTCGCAACGAACGTGATGGAAGCTGCAACTGCAGCCACGGCCCAAGAGACATGCCAGCTCCTCGCTGCGACTGCTCCTCGTCAAGGTTGAGGCTTCAATATAATATGATGGTATAGAACATAAACAGGATAAAATACAGTATAGTTGATAAAAACGTATCTGTAGCCCTCTCTAAACCCAACTGGAAGGCTGGGGGCGCGACCAGTGAGCTCCGAGGCATGCGATGCTGCCACCATTTCTTGCGATGCGAAGCCACGAAGTTCAAGATTGTCCCGGCAGTCTCTGACAGTACACACTGCCTTCAAATACTCTACAATCATTATAGATGGGAACGTAGTGCCCAAAAGATCCCAAAAGCTCATGCGGATGTCTCGTCCGGCTACGCACGACGCTGCACCGGCCATGCTGAGCCCAAAAAAAAACGGCGTGCCCGACGACTCCTTCACTCAAAGGACCCGGCACTTTCGGACCTGCATCTGCGATTTGAGATCTTCCTATGTAGCCTAGATCAACAGTGCGGCCCATCGGAAGGGGAGTCAGGTTGCTGAAGGAGTCGACGCTTTTTCTCTGCTCGTCTGCGAACAGAGGGGAGGCTGAGGAGACTGTCAGCCTCCCCTCCTGGCGTCGGAGGGCAACGACCAGTGCAGGAGGCAACTGCGAGGGATGCCCAGGAAACTTGAAACTCACTGGTCTTGTGAAACGAATTGAAACGAAACGACATGCACTTCTGATGCCGTGCGGAGGACACTCCCATGCCTTCAAGGATCGAAGGAGACCTGGGCACAAGATACGTTCGTATCGTGAATCTACTGCTTCAAAGAAAGACGCGAGATGAAGCGAGAGGGCCAGACCCAGAGGGTGGCAATCTGCTTGTCCGGTCCAAGAACCGGGGCTCCAGAGGCCTCCACAAAGGAGGGGGGCCGAGCCGAGGGGCCCATGAGGGCTTATGGGTCGGCCTTTCAAAGCTTCAAGGTCTCCCCAGGCCTGGCCAGTCGAACCCGGCAGCGGCCTCAGCCCATGCGCCGCCACCTGTGCCAGGCAGAAGAGGACCGCCTAGAGGGGGCCTCGGGGGCCCGGGGAGCGAGAGAAGAGGAGGGCCTTCTTCAGCTTCCCGGCCCGGATCTCCGACAGCGAGAAGGCCGCGTGCGCCACCAGCTCGTCGTTTCTCAGCCTCAGACAAGCGGGCGCCTGGGATCCTGATCTTCCTTTCTCCCGATAAGCGCCGAGTCTGAGTGTTGCACGAGTCGTAGTCCCACAAGAGAACGTGCACCCATAGCTCCTGCAAGACTTGGCTTCGGCTGCGGTTCAGTTTGCCTGGAAACCAACCCCCGGATCCTCTTCCGGCACACCTCATGGCGCGACACCAAGCAAACAAAGCAGGGACCATCCGTGGTATTCCGCAGTATTCCGTAGTTGCCCGGCTCCGGCCTTCAAACTTCTTCGGAAAGGCGAGAGCAATGGACTCGTTCCAGGAAGGATTCGGATCCTGCGAGTCTTGCGCAGCGAAATTCGCAGCCCAGCATACTCATTCTCCGAATACGGAGCCGCGAGCACTTGGAAACTGCGCACTACGTGAACCTGCTGATGTAAAATCTCCGCTTCACAAGACCTCTGAAGCCACTCCTCTAAAATTGTGCCAGACTTGGCGAATCTGCGGATGGCTGCCTGGCTCGGAAAAAGGCTGCTGCTGTCTTCAACTCTGCAACACCGAAGCGACACAGAGAATCGACGAGGGCTCGAGATGCCAACCCGGAAAAGCAGCGCTCGGAGGCAAGGCCGACCTTCCTGTCCTTGTTCCGGACTCGCATGACCCTCTGCTCAACCTTGGAGAACAAGGAGGCAAGAAGTGTGCTACTCTGCTACTGCAAGCTGCTGTGACAATACCAACAAAGGTCTCTGTGCCGTAGTTTTCATGCGAAGCATGCGAGGTGCCACGTAACAGCCGTTGCACTCCTTTGCCCAATGATTTGTTGCCATGGTCTGCAAAGTCCTGTCTTGAGTGAGAATCGCTCCGAGAGAGAGAGATAGAGAGAGAGAGAGATACGAGTAGAGGACAGCGGCAAGTCGGGGGCAACGCGAGCTGAAGCAACTAGACTGGTCACCCTTCGAGAGTCTCAGTGGCTTGCCCCGGGCTCTTGCTGCAACGGATTGCCTCCTGGGCAGATCCCCCAAGTTCCAACATACGACCCGCCGCTCTCAGATCTCAGGGTCTCGGCGCGCGATGCTGAAGGTCACGTAGGGGTCGATCACTTTTCGCTTCTGGCCGCAAAAGTTGGGGAAAAGGCCCAGACTCTGCGCTGCCCAACGTGTGACCGAGGCTGCGGCCGATGCGCTCGGCAAGCTTGTGGCCTGCGGATCTCGGAAGCTTCGTCGTGCCAGGGTTGCTCGTGTGCGGAGGCTCACGGGCCTTGACCAAGTTACACACGATGGTGCCCTTGGCGTCCGCAGCCTCTTCTGCACAGACATGTGGCTTTGTGACTTTGCTTCGCGACGGTTTTCCGTCGAGGAGGGCCTGCATCGCGGCTTTGGTCTGCATCTTCTGCCTGGTGGAGGCCAGCACCTGCAAAGCGTCGCCGAGACCCCTTCTACGAGTATCCCCTTCTCTTCTGCGTCTCCGCTTCGTCTCAGGCTCTGGCTCTCCTGAGACCCGCATCTGGGCCCTCCAGCAGCATGCCGATGTAGTGCGCGACCTGTGCACTCAGAACCCTTCTCCGTATGGCAAGTGCCAGGTGCGCTGGCGGCCTGTGTCACGAATTCCACGTCCTCCATGCTGAAGGCCGGACCTAGCGGTGTCAAGTGCAGACCCCGGAAAAGACACAAGCAACAAACGTCTCAGAGCAGTGCTTCCTTGCTTGTTGACACATTTGATGGCACCTTTCTTCGCAGGAACTCTCACGTCACTGTCGCATATCACACATTGCAAGGCGTGCCTAGGCATTTTCGCGACGTGTCGAAGAGTGGCACGGCAAGCTCCGATCCTGCCCAAAGAGCATGCCGACACTCTAAGCTCTAGCACCCCGGAGTCCAGGCCTGTTGCTTCCGTTGCAGGCACGTTCATGTAGTGGCCCACTTGCACAGCCTTTGCAGACGGGACTCTCCTTCGCACCGGACCTCACCAGCTTGTGTCGGACCTCGCCAGCTGCACCAAAGCCTCACTTCACGCACCCGAACCAGTACCAAAAGTGGAATCCTGCCGGTCGGCTTTAAGTCACTGGCCCACTGGTGCCGTGTGGTGCGGCAGAGGCCCGTCAATGACCTCGAGACTCGGACATGACGGGCTGCCTTGAACAGTTGCTTTCAGGCATCTGGGAGATATCAACTCTGCACGGCCCAAAAACTCACGACTGCCACGAATGCAAAGGCAGTGTCACGCGCTACAAGCACGGCCTAGGACACGCATGCCTGTGAGCAGTCGCAACGAGGCTGCTCGAACTTACGACTCTCAGTCAGAACATCAACACAAGACGACATTTCAAAGGGATGCACTGACAAAAAAGAAGCGGCCATGGTGGAATCACCTTGAGCTAAGCGAAAAAAGAACGCTATTGCGGATGGAAAGCCTCTGCTGCTGACGTTCCTTGCGGCCTGCTGCTTTTCTGCCCGCCAGCACTGCTCCAAGCTTTCTCATGACTTGAATTATTCGGCCCTGAACAACTCCGAGCCAAGGGTGGCCTCCCTAAAGTCCTGGTTCGGGTTCTTCCCCTGCATCATCCTCTCCTTGTCCACCCCTCATCCCCCAACCCGCAGCCAGACCTCCGAGAAGAGCTCCTGCGACCTGAGGCGAAGTCACTGAGCTGCGCTGCGAGATTGCGCGCAAAATTCCGCTGGGATCTTCACTGTCGGTCCAGCAGCATCAGCACCGTGGCCTTCGCCGGCCCCCGCCATGTGCCCGGAGTGCCCCCCCCGAGGCCTAAGGCCCTAAAGAGGGAGATGGGCAGAAGGGGGCGGGGCCTCGGCCCCAAGGACCGTGCGGAGGCCCTCCAGGGCTGGGACGAAGAGCGTCGCCTCAAAGCCGAGCCGAGCCCATAAAGGGAAGAAATCGGCCAGACAGCAGAGACCGGTCGCAGGCCAGGCGGGCGCACCATGCGCTGGGAGGCGGCGGAAGTGAATTCAGGCGAACCTGCCAGCGGGTGCAGTGCGGGTTTCTTGCCGTACTGTATTGACTAGCTGCTGTTCAGGGGAAGCATGTGAACCAACAGGAACACAGCAAACTCCAGTCGAGGTGAGCGAACTATTCCAATCAAGTGCTAGTGAATGTGCTCATTTTCGCATGTCTGTAGTCTTTGGTTATGATGACGTGATTTGAAGAAGAAGGCGTGATTCGCGAAGAACACCTATCCTGAGTCTGTGCACTGAACTCTTGCACCTGTTGTCTGCATGGACTTCTCGCACTGCTCAATGACCTGTCGCGGAAGATGCCACAGCATCGACACGCAGGCCGAGATGGCTGGAATCGACCAAGGCAGGCGATGAGACCGGTAAGTTGAGAGAGATGTCTCCCACATCAGAGCAGAAGCTCAGGGCAGGTACTGTTCAGAAACATGAAGCTTTTAGCAATGACGCACTTAGCGCATGCAGGTCGGCATCCACGCTAAGTGCAGGCATCCAAGTCTACAATCGACAACATGTAGACAAGCCAGCCGAGTTCTTTGAATTCCCACGTTGCGTCGAACCTTGCCGTGTGAGCATCTTATGTGTGAACCAAGCTCAGAACTTCTATGCGGGCATGTGCTAGACAGGGACGAGCATCGGCACTGCTGCCTTCTCAGCAAAAGATGCACAAGAGACAGGTAAGCTACGAGACGGTGCTGCGTT